TGTTAAAATAAAAATGTATTTTTTAAACATGTTTTCATTGATATACGATTATGTATGTTAATTTGATAAAGGTTTAAAATGAAACATTTAAAAGTAAAGGACGTAAAGTAAATTAATTAACTAATTATAGGGGTATAAAGTGTAAATTTAAAATTATAATTTWAAAAAAATCCGAAGGTGAGTGTATGTRAGGAGAGGAKGGGGTAAAAAAGTGAAAAAGTGATCGAAAGGGTAGTATAAATGGTATCTTGGTCATTTAGTATTTTAAGACTTTAAAACTTTTGCTAAATTTGCTTAATAAGATAGTATAGATATACACACTAAGAAGGGTGTTCGCACAATGCAGTGAGATATATCTCGATTTTTAATACATTTTATTCATGTTCTCTGTCAATATAATACGRTTTTATGTGTTTTTTAGAAAATGATAATATTTTTTTGACTGAAATATAAATTTGAAAAAAATAATGATATGGATATTAGTATTAAAGTAACTATTCAAAAKATCTCGTTTTCTATGTAATTTCGTTAATTCAATTTAGATTTAATAACAATGATTATCCTAATTATATTTTATTTTTTTATATTTAAAATGATATGTTTATCATGTATTTGATTATGTATATGGTTAGTTACACGAATTCAAAAACTATAGCTTTAATAAGTTGTACTTATGCATAATGTACTTGTTATTATGCAACATTTTACATTTATACAAYCAATACAACTCAATCTCAACCATTCATTTAATTTGATTAATATGTGATTTCATAAAAGTTTTGATGGTTTACTAATATAAAGTATTGATCATAATTAATAAACCCTAGTCATCTTTCATAAATATTCAAATCATAATAAATGAACTCTCATCATTTTCATAAATATCTCAATTGATTGGGTTGCATTGGTTGTATAAATATGATGAATTGCATTTAAAACATCCTATACATACATACATACATATATATATATATATATATGTGTGTGTGTGTGTGGGGTTAGATTTACATGAGACTAGTATGTTTTCAAGAGACCCGTGAGACTACTTTTTTATACTTTAAACTTCACAACAAAACGATGTAAAGGTAAAAAACAAAGTCGAACCTTCACAGCAAATACACTGTGAAGGTTACCTTTACATCTTTTTGCTGTGAAGTATAAAAAAGTGGTCCCACGGGTCTCACAAAAACAGGTTGGTTTTACGTGAACCCAACCATATATATATAGGGTTTACGTGAGACCAGTCTGTTTCCGTGAGACCACTTTCTACACTTAAAACTTCACAAGTAAAAAAATTGAACATTTACAGCAAAAACATTGTGAAGGTTACATTCACATCGTTTTGTTGTGAAGTTTCAAGTGTAAAAAAGTGGTCTCACAAAAACATGTTGGTCTCACCGGATCCAAAGTCTATCTATATATGTATATATAGATATAAAGCTTTGTTGTTCCAACTTTATACATACATATATATATATATATATATAGATACACATGTATATATACATACATTTCCTTATATGTAGGTGTAGAAGTATGTATGCATGCACATAATACTTTGTTGTTCCAACTTTATGCAAAACGTATAGATACAAATATGTATATACACATTTCCATATATGTAGGCTTACACACACGTATGTATACATATAACGCTTTGTTGTTCCAACTTTACGCAAAACG